GTAAGACCTGGTGGGCCTCCATTTTACCATAATTGGTGACTCTTAATCTTATGCAAGTGGTATGACATCAGGTAGCCCAGATGGGATTCTTGGTGGTACCAAGAAGGCACCAAAAAGGAAGGCAAGGAAGGAGGGGTACTGGGAAAGGAAGAAAAGAGTTGATAGGTCTTCCTACTGCCCTCAACAGCCTGGATGGCTTTGGGGTGGGATCAGGAAGAGAAAATTAGTGGGAAAGGGTATCACAGTTGACAATGGTATGTGTTGCATTCCCTCAATCAGTAATCATTCATCAATACCTAGTAGGTGCAGCTAGATGGGAGCAGCTAGATGGCTCATTGGATAGAGCACTGGCCCTGAAGTTGGGAATACCTGAGTTCAAATCTGGCCTCAGACACTTACTAGTTGTGTGACTCTGGACAAGTCACTTAACCTCTGTTTGCCTTAATCCATTGGAGAAAGAAATGGCAGATTTCTCCAGAATCTTTGCCAAGAAAACCCCATGGACAGTACTGGCATACTATTGTCCACAGGGTCACGAAGAGTCAGACATGACTAAAGAACAGCAGGTGCCAGGTACTATACGAGACGTTGGACATATAAAAACAAAAGCCAAACAGCCCTGCCCTCAAGGAACTGATTTTCTAACGGGGAGAGAACATACGTATGTATGGTATGTACAAAATACACCCGAGCATATACTAGCTAACCTTGGTGGGCAAGGTATGACCAGCTCGGGGGACCGGACTGGGGCCTCATGTGAAAAGTGGTGCAGAAGCTGAGCCTGAACCAAAGTCAAGGTTTCTAGAGATGGAGGTGAGGAGGGTGAGCATTACAGACATGGTGATAGGCAGTGCAAATGCATGCATTTGGGGGTTGGGCTCAGCGACTACTTCTTTGTTTTTATTCTTTCTATTGTCTAGCACAATTCCTTGCATGTATAGTTACTGTTTTTAAATTGAATTGAATAGTGCAGTTCTTTCCTTTAAACCAGGGGTGGGGACCCTGTGGCCTCCAGACCATATGTGGCCTTCTAGGTCCTCAAGTGTGGCACTTTGACTGAATCCAAACTGCACAGAACAAATCCCCTTAATAAAAGGATTTGTTTTGTAAAACTTGGACTCAGTCAAAAGGCCAAAACCAAAGGGTGTGACCCTGGGCAAGTCACTTCACCCCATTGCCTTGACAAAAAAATAAAAAAAGGGCTGCATCCAAGGACCTAGAAGGCCACATGTGGCCTTGGTGGCCCAAGGTTCCTTACCCCTGCTTTAAACCATACTGATGATACTTACCTCCTGTGTGAGTTTAGGAGGACCCTTGCTTTGCAACCTAACCCAGTTCGATCTTGCAAAGAAAAGACCCTCCCTTAGTTCACAATCTCCGTACTATGCAGCTGGCATAATGTTTGCATCTGAGAGTTTTATCTAGAATTCATCTTGAAGTAACAACCTGAAGGGAGCAAGATTCAGAGGATTGGCTCCCAGGAGCTAAGAAATGGATCCAGGAGGTCAACAGGGTGGTGAAAAGAGCAATGAATTTGGAATCAGGGGACACAGGTTCCTCTTCTGTCAATACTTGTATGACTTCAGATGAGTCAATTAACCTCTTTGGGCCTCAGTTTCCTCATGTCAAAAATGTGGGGGTTGGACTAGATCACCCCCAAGGTCTCTCACCTTTCCAGAAATGGGAGTCCATGATCTTCTCTAGCCCCTCTCTCTTTAGGTCCTTCCCTCTATGGAGATTCTATGCAAACATTTTGACATGCTTAACTTTTGTCTTTTCAGTTTGTCTTCTCCCTGAACGAACAGAAATGGGAGACCAAATTTTCACCAAAGGGTAAAACTTGCTCAGTCCCATCCCTCGGTTTTATCTCCTCTGTTCCTTCTGTGACCTGTTCCTTATCTCATTCAGTCCCCCAGTGCTTTCCTTCTATCCAAATGGTGTCTTCTGTTATCACTCATTAACACCTGATGGCCAATCTGTCATTCTACTTGCATTTAACCTTGATCTTTGATTACAGAATCAGTTTGCAGCTTTATTCTTAATTAAAGAAACTTGTGGCAGCACCCAACAAGTACAAGATGTATACATACATACGTATATATATATATGTATATATGTATATATATATGTCCTTATCAATATGAAATTATAGCAGGAGGCTCACCCCCACCATTGTTAGTATAGTGTTTTAAGACTTGGACTGGAATGTCTGAACAGGAGCAGGTTCTTGGGCATTCAATGCATTTCATTACTCTGGGCTTCCCTTGTTCCCTCTTGACTAACTCAATTTGGCCCAGAAACAAAACTGGGAGTGAGGACACATGGTGGGGGAGGGGTGGCAGAGAATGGGAGGAGTCTGTACCCATGTGAAATTCAGTCATTGTGTCAATAGTTGCCCCTAACTAGAGCAGATCAGCCCTTAAATCCTAAGTGTGGTGCATTGTATCCTCTGCTGAGTTCTGCCTTCTGCTTTCTTCAGACCAGACTGAGTACAAAGCACTCATAGAAAATAGTATTTTTCATGGCACAACTAAAAATTCAAATGCTTAGCTATTGTTCTTTGACTAGGTAGGAGAAAGTCTTCTCTTTGAATGAATAGAAACAAGGTTAAAAAATGAAATATTAAAAAAAAAGATCACCCGATTTCTTGTCATGCCCGTTAAATGTTAACTGAAAAGCTCCATTATTTTGTACTACCAATAAGACAATGTATATTAAGTTAAAACATAAACACACATACAGAGAAACACAAGAAGTTTTTTGTTATTGTGACTTAAGCTCTCCGGGAATTCCAGAGCTGAGTTACATACTTTGTCCTGAATTGCCCTTCCATTTCCAGGTATTGTGACATAGTGACTAAGAACAACTTTCTCGCTGCTCTGAAAATTTATGGGTCTTTGGAGCTCAGGTTTTGTAACACTGGGGTGCATTTCTGCCAGCCTGGGAACTTAGAAGGGACTTTCATGCTACTGTGCAAGAAGGAAATCTAGCCTGGCTTCAGTTGTTCTGTTTCTAAAATAGCATTTTGAATAGTTCCCTATGCTGGGAGTTCTTATCTTTCAAAAGTGAACCTTGTGCTCACCTTACTTAATTGATTTATTTATTTACATAAAGAGCATGTCTGAAAAGCAGGATCCCTGGCTGTCCCAGTCATGGGGATCCGGATCCCCAGTGGACCTTTGATCTATTGTGGAGGGCAAGAACTCCTGAGGCCTCAAGTAGCATCGGCTATAAAAGAGCCGACAAGGAGGGATTCAGGTGTGCTGCAATAGCTGACCTGTGTCATGTCTTCCATAAAGCTGGATGTCATTTTGTGCTGGGGGAGGGAGGTTGGGAAGCAAAAGAACATGGTTATTTAAGAGAATATTGAAATAGTTCAGATGATCCAATGAGTTACTTTGGCCAAAAAGAAAACCATTAACCAGTGTCCCTTCCAACCCTAGGGCGATGATCCTCATCTTCCGTAATGAATTCACATTCTTTAATTCTACTTCTCCAAACTTAGCTAGCCTGATCCAGACACATAAACAAACCACCTCCAGGCCCTTCCTCAAAGATTTTTTTACTTTGGTGGGACCTTCTGCAGAGATTCCCAAAGTTGGTGCTGGAGGGCACTAGAATGATCCAGGGGGGCAGTAGTAGCCTCTGGTGCAATTGGGTGGCACTGAATAAAAATAAGGGAGCCATGGAAGCATAAAGAAAGAAGAGAAGAAAATTTTGAAAAACCGTTCATACATGTTTCATCTATTGTGTAACAGAGTTAAAAGTCATAGTGATTACATTATTTTCCAAATAAACACATAAAATGCAAGTTATAACCAATCGGTGGTCAAGTCAGATGACAGGTCTTAACAAGCAAGTGTTGGCAGGCAAGCATGTCACATTGTTGGGAAATCCAACATGCAATGGCAGGAATGTGGGCGTGTAATGACTCGTTTACAATATAATACTATATTGTTATGTGACATTATGTCATCAAACTTTCAGGGCAGGAAAAATACCACAGATTTACAATAAATTATTAAATTTAAGATGTGTCATTTAAAATATACATATTTTACTTTTTTTGAAATGATGCAAATTTTTTAAAAATGGTAAAGGGTTTAAAAAAAGCAGATTTCCAGGGGAGCACTGAGTAATTTTTCAAAGGGGGCGGTGGGCCAAATAAGTTTGGGAACGTCTGTTTTAGAACTTGGGCTCCACTTGCATAACTGTTGAGTATCCTCCATGCCTGGAATCCCTTTTCACTTCTGCCTCTTACAATCCTTCATTTCTTTCAAAACTTAACTTGTGTCACCTTCTATTTGACGTCTTTTCTGGTTCCCTCTCTGGGTAGTGCCTCTCTTTTGTTGTTGTTGTTGTTGCTAGGTCATGTCCAATTCTTCCTGATCCCTTTTGGGGTTTTCTTAGCAAAGACACTGGAGCCACTTGCCATTCCCTTCTCCAGCTCATTTCACAGATGGAGGGAACTGAGGCAAACAGGGTTAAGTGACTTGCCCAGGGTCACACAGTTAGTAAGTGTCTGAGGCCAGATTTGAACTCAGGTCCTCCTGACCCCAGGGCTGGTACTCCATCTACTGCATCACCGAGCTATCCTATACCACTGGACCCCACCCCACCCCAAATGATCTTGTATCTATTTTCTATGTACCAGTGTAGGGAAGAGAGAAATCTGATTCACTTGTCGCTCTGCTCAGTTGATGTTGTAATGAGTTGAAATCATAAAAAGAAGTGAAGATGTGTTAACAAGAGGTAAATAACTGGTGATCCCTTTAGGAAGTAGGAACACCATTGTCCTGATCAAATTAGGAAGGAGCAACAAATTGGTCACACTTGGTGAGGGGAGAGAACTTGGGAATGGAGAAACAAAACCTTGGAGTTTAATTCCAGAGTTCCACAGCCCACCAATTGGGCTGCTTGTGGAGGAAACCCCTTGGAGGAAGGGAATTTCTCTTTCCACTCCCTTGCCCTCTACCAATATTGACCATCTCATCTAGCAGGGGAGCTACTGTCTCAGAAGGAGGCAGCTTGAGGCTCATTTAAAGGAGCACAGAGACATGCTCTCCAAACAGAAATGGATATAGGGACAATCACTCAAGGCCAGGAGCAGCTTCAGGGAGTGTGATTCTTGGCAGCAGAGAAGAGAAAGATCTGTGGACCTGGAAGAGAGCTAGCCCTGGCAAGCTCCAGCTGAGTTGCAGAGAAGACTTCCCTGGCAGAGGACTTCCCTGGGAGAGAACTTCCAGCCCACCCAGTCCCAGAGTTGTAAGTGATGTTGACCACACACCTTCCCCATATCTGTGCCTTACTACCATTATATGTACTACCACTATAAGGATGTGCCCACTCTTCCTATGGGCACTGTGTATTTGTGGGACAGTGCCCCGGGTTTATAGGAGAATATTTTGTAGCTACTGTTTTTATGATGTCATGTTAATGTATTTGCCAAGAGCAAAAAGAGACTGTTAGTGAGAGGCCCACTGGTAGGGGGTTTTGAGCTATAGTTTTAGGAGTGAACGCCCTTGAACCTTGGAGTAGCAGCTGCCCTCTTGGGATTCAAACTTTGAGTGTGAATGCAAGTTGGGGAGTAAGCCAGTCAGGGGCTACCACTACATATTTACTGTGTATGTTGTCTGGTCCCACTAGGCTAGAAGGTTCTGGTGAGGGACTGTTTAACTTTCACATTTGTGTCCCCAATGCCTAGCACAGGGGGCTGTTTCAGAATACATGCCTAATTAATTTGTATTGATTGACCCGGGGGGTGGGGGGGGGAGGTCAGGAAATATTCTCATTCACTTTTATGGAATGTCATCTCTTTATCTCTGTCTTAAAGTCCAGTTGCCTTAAACAGCCCACAATTACAAAAAGGATTATGTTAATTTATGAAAATCAACTTGGCCAGAAAGAAATATTAGTCTAAACCTTTCTTTTCAAGGTGGAACAGTAGTGGACATTAATGGTTAAGTCAATTGGTTTCTCAGCCATGGCTGTGTTCTTCTTTTAGGTTCTACTGTCATTTAGCCTCTCAAAGATGATAACCAGAGAGGGTATGACCCTTCTCTCCCCAATGCTTTTCCCTTATGTTGTCATAGAATCTTAGAGCTGAGAAGCCATCTGGTCCAACATTTTGTTTGTTTATATGGCATGTTATACTTGGAATCATAGGGGCAATATAAAAAACCCTAGATTTGGTGGTTAAGGAGCTAAGTGTTTGAAATCTGGATTTGCCACACTTGCTTTTATGTGACCTTGGGCAAATCATTTCACTTCATCTCTCTGGGCCTCAGTTTCCTCATTTGTAAAATGAGATAGTTGGGGGGCAGCTAGGTGGCGCAGTGGATAGAGCATGGGCCCTGGAGTCAGGAGGACCTGAGTTCAAATGTGACCTCAGACCAAACACTTGACATTTACTAGCTGTGTGACTCTGGGCAAGTCACTTAACCCCAATTGCCTTAAAAAAAATGAGATAGTTGGACTACCATAGTCTTTGGGGTCCCTTCCAACTCTAAGTCTATGATCTTATGGATTTTAGAACTAGGCAGCACCTTAAAAATCATCCACTCTCAGCTCTTCCTTTTCCTTTTCAAATCACTTTTGCAAGATTATTTCATTTGATGTTCACACAAAACCCAGTGATAAATGGAGACAGATAGTTGTCATTTCCATTTCACTGATGTGGAAATTGAGACAGGGAGATTAAGTGATTTGTTTTTGTTGGTTATGGCAAGTTATTGGTATAGCCAGGATGAGAACTGAGGTCTCTTCTGCCTGATAGCTCAGGGCTCCTTCTACAATGCAATGTCCTTTTATTTATGCTACTTTTAAAGCATCTAAGAACTATTTATTGCCCCTGGCTGCTGAAGCTGCGAACTTCAGGAAAGAATCCAGGAAGCTCCTACAGAAAGTAAATTGTATCTCCTCTAACACTGCGCCTGAACTATAACTTGGATACAATTCAGTTGTTTCTTTTAAAAAAAAAATACAATAGCTTTAAAAAGTTTACATTTATTTAGTGTTACAGACATTTTTCTCATAATATTTGTGAAATAGGAAGTGAAAGCAGTATCCCCATTTTATAGATGAAGAAAACTGAGACTCAGAGAGATCTAAGTGACTTGCCCAAGATTACTCAGTGACTGATCTGGAACTCAAACCCAGGCTTCTTGATTCTATGCCCCGTGCTCAGCTGGCTATTACCCATGCAGGCTCTGCTTTTATCTTCACTTCTCCTTGTAATGAATTAATTCAACAACTAATTGTCACCTATATTTCACTTCTCAACAGGCATTCATTCATCCTTTCTACACTTTCACAGCTGAACAGCACCTGGGCATTGGCCCAAGAGTTTGGGAGTGGGAAGGATAAAGAGGTGAATTCCAGACCAGTTGATGCAAGAGAGCAACAGACTTGAACTGAATGTATAATTAACTCCACAGTTGTCACAATGTGCCTCACGGCACCCAGGAACCCACTGGGGCATTGAAGACTATTTTAAAATTTCAACTTACTTACTAACTGGAATTGTTAGGTATTTCTTTTGCCTTAGAGATACTGAAAAAATCACTGATTCACTAAGGGTAACTCCAGGTTAATCTATAACCTCCTCCAAGACAAAGAAGTATGGTTGTTCTATTCCACATATATTCTTCTTTGTGACTTCATTTCCCCCTTCAAAACTGTCTTGCTATCATTGGTGGATGGAGATTAAAAAAAAAAGATGCAAAAGGAGATAGGATTTGAAAGAATTTTGCTCCAAACCATCATGAAATCCACAGTAATGTCTTTAAAAAATTTAGATACTAGGGGGCAGCTAGGTGGTGAAGTGGATAGCACACCAGCCCTGAAGTCAAGAGGACCTCAGTTCAAATCCGGCCTCAGACCAAACACTTGACACGTACTAGCTGTGTGACCCTGGGCAAGTCACTTAACCCCAATTGCCAACCAACAAAAAAAAATTTAGATACTAGAATGGCCCATCTTGAAAAGAATAATCAATTGACTGATTCTGATTTTTTTTCCTGCTACAAAGAAATGAATGGAAAGAAAAAAGAAAGCATCAGTTGAAAATTTCTTCTAAGAAAGCACACAAAATTATTAAGCAAAGAGAATCATAGACTATTAGAGCAGGAAGGAACCTTGGAACCATGCTAGTCAAACTCCTCATTTTACAGATTAGGAAACTGAGATTCAGACTGGTAAGAAGATGTGTCTAAGGACACGTAAGTACTTACTGATAGGATTAGAACCCATTTCATATAGGTTTATTTTAACCAACATTAATTTTAGATAGATCAAATAAATGCTATATATCCAAAGCTATATTTTTATAATCTACATGTGCATTTTAAATTATACTGGGGTCCTTAATGTGATCAATGTGTACAGAATCAGGGATTCTTAATCTGTGGTATGTGAGTTTATTCTTCAATATTTTAATAAATATATTTCGTTATAATCTGTTTCCTTTGTAGTCCTGGGTATTTTATTTTATGCATTTAAAAACATTGTTCTGAGAAGGGGTCCATAGGCTTCACCAGATTGCCAGAGAAGTCTCTGACACAAAAAAGGGTAAGAACTTCTGCTTTATGCCCATTTTCAGGACCTTTACAAGAGAGTCAGTGTGGTATATTTGCAATATATATGATACAGTTGCAATAACTGGACTCAGGTGGTAGTAAGCTAGGCCAGACCGAGGAAGAAAAGTGAGCACTAGCAGTCCTAGAAAGCCCACAAGGTCAGAGAGAGCCCAAGGAGTCCTTAATCTACAGATGTGCGTAAGAGGGTGGTTAGGCAAGAAAATATATCTGAGACCTGGAAATCAGTCCAAGGGAAAGGTAAGGCAATAAACATCTATATGGTGCCCACGACATGTCAAGTGCCATGCTGAGCACTTTACAAATTTTATCTCATTTGAGCCTCAGAACAACCCTACAAAGTGGGTGCTGTTATTATCCCCAACTGAGGCAAAAAGAGGTTAAATGACTTGCTCAGGGTCACTCGACCAGTAAGTGTCTAAAGTTGAACTTGGATCTTTCTGACTGTCACCTAGCTTCTCTCAAGTTCAAGGTGAAAGAACAGACTGGAACTCCAGGCCCACAAACCAAGATTGATGCAAAGTCCAACATCCAAGGAGCAGGCAGTAAGTGGAGATTTAATCAACACCCGTTAGACAAATGTTCACGTGGCTGCCCAATTCTCAGAGGTTAGGCAATGAACATTATTCTAAAATCATTGTCAGACAGGGGAAGGCAGAGCCACCAAGTTAACAGGGTTCAGAGACCAGACGCCAGGAAGCAGGCTAAGACACCAGGACTCCTTCAGTGAGAGACTAGATGACAAAGAGTAAGAACCCAGCAACTGGTAAACTAGATCACTGAGACCTGAACAGGATAGGCGACAAGAATAAATTATTCAGTGCAGAGTCAGACCGCTTAAATGGTTAGCTTCCTTTGATCCTTCTTCCTTCCTTGTCCCCAATATAAACACACCCTCCCCTTGGGCCATGATAAGTTCCACCATATGAGGCAAGGCTAAGCCTACAGCCGGGGGATTAAGTAGGTACACCTGTCAGGCTGAGAGGGATGAAGGGGCAGAAAGCCAGGTGAGTCTCAGGTGAATTCTCTGCTTCTAGAACTGGTGCTTTTTACAGGATATTGCTGGTTCCCCGAGACCTTCATGAACTTCATTTCTTCAGTCCTTCCCTTTGCATTGACTACTTTCTGTCTGCTATCCAGGGTTCAGAGGTCGAACCACATTGACACCAAAAGAAATCTTTTGTCCTTTTTCTCTTACTTGGACAGCCAAACTTCTCCATCAAGTGGGATACACCCACTATTCAGATTTGATCCCTATTCTTCCCCCTTTTCAATTTCCTGAAGTCCAGTTTTCATCAGAAACTGCTTTTGCTGTAAGTGACATCTTTATTGTCAAATCTTCATCATCTCTTTGCTCTCTCTCTCTCTCTGCTGAATATGCAACCATTGGTCACTCCTTCCTTCTTTCACTTCCCACCTTTTCTGGCTTCTGTGATGTTACGTTACACTGATTACCTTCCTGCATTTCATCCTTCTTGACCTTTACTGTGAGTGTTTCCCAAAGATCAGTCTTTGGCTCTATGTCTTCTCCAGGTGCCCCTCCACCATTTTTCAAGATTTCTGTAGACTTTGTACTGATGACCCTAATTCTGCATCCTAGTTATGTCCTCCTGCCTCAATTCTAGTTCCTTAACACAAATGCCTGCCGGACCTTTCAGCAGTCATATTCAACTATTCACCAGTCACTCTCTAAGATTACAAATAACAGAGCCCATGGATAGAAGGAATTCCTTCATGGAGATCTCCCACAGTGATGACATCTGGTGAAAACAACAAAAACATATTAAACATTGTTTTAATCAGGTGACTTCTCCAATCAAAAAGCTCCAATGGCTCCCCATTTGCCAAGGAAAAAAATCTAAATTTTTCCAGTGTTTAATTTTCAAGGCCTTTCACACTCCCAGTTACCCAGGTTCATAATTTCAGAGTTGACTTCCTTCTTCCTACCCTACCATATTCATCAAAGTGCTGAGTGTTCTCCGTGACATCTCTTGAACTGATCCCACCATTTTCACTCACATGTCTACTGCTCTCCTTGAGGCCTTTACCACCCCTCTCCTAGACTATTGCATTAGCCTCTTAACTGGTCTCCCTGTTCCAGGCCCTCCTCTGACCAATCTGTCCTCTATGACCCTGCCAAAATAACATCTAAGGTACAGGTCATCCACTGGCCCAATCATCTCCAATGACCTCTTATTGCCTCTAGGAGGAAAAATATACTCCTCAGCTCGGAAAAAAAGCTCTTTCCAATCTGGCTCTCACCTACTCTCAAGATGTATTTCATGTGATTCCTATTTTCAAGACATACTACAAGTTGTTCCTTACACTCAATGTATCTATTTCCCATTTCTAGGCCTTTGCACAAGCTGCCATGCCTAGAATTCTCTTCCTCTTCACCTCTACCAACTTGAATCCCTAGCTTCCTTCAAAGTTCAGGTTATGTGTTATGCAAATTCTTTCCTGAACCCCCCAATTTCTCTTTTTTCTAATTTTGTCATTCATTTTTCAGTTGTGTCTGACTCTTTATGACCCCATCTGGGGTTTTCTTGGCAAAGATGATAGAGTGGTTTGCCATTTCCTTCTCTAATTCATTTAACAGATGAGGAAACTGAGGCAAACAGGGTTAAGTGACTTGCCCAGGGTCACACAGCTAGTAAATGTCTGAGGCCAGATTTTAACTCAGATCTTTCTAACTCCAGGTCCAGTACTCTACCCACTGTGCCACTTATCTGCCCTGTTTCTCTTATTACCTTGGATTTAATTGTCTATATATATGATATATTTCACCACCTCCACTCCCTAACATGAAATCTCCTTGAGGACAGGAATTATTTTGTTTATGTCTTTGTATCCCCCAATGCCTTAAGCAATTTTTTGAAGGGTGGTTTAAGATATAAGATTTCATTGGTATAGGGAGATTTCAGTGATGAAATTCTCTCTCTCAATGTAGATAGATCAGCATTTGTCTTGCAACTTAGATTCTTGGAGAGAGGATAATTGACACGTCCAGCGTCACACAGCCAGTACATGCAGAGGCAGGCCTGGAGTACAGGTCTTCCTGATTCTAAAGACAGAGTCTCTATCCACTAAACCACACTGCCTCTTACCTTACACTTGATGGGTGCTTGCTAAATGTTTGTTAAGCTGAATTCCAATCCAATCCAATCCAACAGTAATCTGTCCCCAACCTATTTTGGTCTGGACCTGTGATTTTGTCTAGTTTTATTTTCTCCACACACACCTCTGCTCAGACCAATGTCCCCTAAGGCTGTTCTTTGTGTTTCCATCTGTGTGCTTTGCTCATGTCATTGCCCTCCCCTATCTAGAATGGCCTCCCTTTTCTCCTCCATTCGATCAAATCCCAGTCAACCTTCAAGGTTCCAGATGTCTATGAAGGCCTCTGTGTCTCCTCCAGACCTAACTGGTCTCCCACCTCTTTTACCTCATCACTTAATTAAATACCAACATTATAATATTTGCTAATATTTTCATCTTTATTAGTCTAGTCACCCTAGACTTAGTCTAGACACCTTAACTAGACTGTAATAAGTTTCTTGAGGTCTCAGAATATGTTATAATTCTCTTTTTTTCATAGTAGTTATCACATTAATTGATTAATGACATTGCTACTTCCTAGAAAACCTTCCATAAATAGCTAGCCACCTAGGTGGCGCAGTAGATGGCCCTAGAGTCAGGAAGATCTGATTTCAAATCCAGCCTCACTTACTAGCTGTGTAACCCTGGACAAGTCACTGAACCTTTGGCTGCCTCAGTTTCCTCAACTATAAAATGGGGATAATAATAGCACCTACCTCCCAGGGTTGTTGTGAGGTTCAAATGGGGTAATATTTATAAAGCACTTAGCAAAGTGTTAAGGGATATTAGGGGTCTAGGAAAAACTTTTATGAGAGGCTAGTTGACAAGCATTTATTAATGAATGAAAAATCGTTTATTAAGTGCTTAGTATGTGCAAAGCAGGCAAAAGCTAGGTAGTGCAGTGGACAGAGTGCTAGGCTTTGAGTCAGAAGGACCTGAGCTCAAATCCAGTTTCAGACATTTATGAGCTGTCTGACCCTGGGCAAGTCACTTTACCCTGTTGGCCTCAGTTTTCTCATCTGCAAAATGAGCTGGAGAAGGAAATGGCAAATTACTCCAGTATCTTTGCTAAGAAAACTCCAAATGGGGTCACGAAGAGGTGGGCATGACTGAACAACAACATGTGCAAAGCACCAGGCTGCATTCGGTG